CCGCCACCGCCACTACCATTGATAACAACAAGACATGCAACTGCCGACAAAAGAACACATGCCCGCTCGACGGAAACTGCCTGCAACCATCAGTAATCTACCAAGCCTCCGTTACACGCAAAGACAACAACACGACAGAAACGTACATCGGACTCACAGAGAATGACTTTAAAACAAGATACAGAAACCACACCGCATCATTCCGCCACGCTAAACACAGAAACTCTACCGAACTCAGCAAGCACATCTGGACCCTCAAAGACAACAACATCGATCACTTTATTTCCTGGCGCATTCTCTCATCGCACTCACCGTACAACAGCTCAAGTAAAAGATGTAACCTCTGCCTCAAAGAAAAATTCCTAATCATCTGCCGGCCCAAACTATCAACACTAAACAAACGTAATAAGCTCGTGTCTTCTTGTCGCCACAGAAGCAAAGCCCTCCGACGCAACAACTAAACTGTCAATTTCGCGCTGCATAAATTAGACTAGTTAGATCATGCAAATTATATTGTATATAAGCAATGGTAAAATTTATTCTCATTAAATCCCCTGATGAGTGGGCGACCACGAAACAGGCTTGTAGGGATGAACTTGTAGTTTGCTTGTCTTTTTCCTCCCACAATATATACATATATATATATATATATATATGTATATTGAGGCAGTTTATTTTTATAAGGAATCCTCGTTTTCTGAATAGACTGACCTAATTATTCAGATCTTGTCATTGTAATTTTTGCTTTTTATTTATTTTAATTGTTTATTTATCTACATTTTATATATCAAGATCTGTATAATTAAAGTTGAGTTAATTAGATTTTAAAAAAATTAAATCAAGTAGTAGGATCATCGAGCGTCACTTAATGTAACACGATTGACACGTTCGGAATTAAACAGCCATATCCATAAAAAAAAATTCTGGGTCTTCATACATGAGAATGAAACATAGAAACCGAAAACTGTGCTCTGAGGGCTTTAAAACTTCAACATGCATGATGAGCATCAATAGTTTAGTTATATAGGTTAGCCGGAATTATGCAAATTTTTCGTCAAACCGTGGCTAGTGTCTTAAAGAAAACATGACATGCATCGCTAGTTATCAAGTTGAATATTCAGTTTATGGCAAACTTGAGCACTATAACTTAAGCACCACATTTTCCTGAGTATGTCGATAGGTTATAGTTATCTGCAACACTCATCTCATATGCGATTTCCTATTGCTGTTACCCGATATGAAATGTCCAAAAAGTCGAGAACAGTCACTATGAATAATGATTTAAGAAAATGACCAGCCTCCCGTTTCATGATTGATAATTAATTGAGAAAATGCTGAAAAAGCTACAGCATATATACAACTGATTTAGCTGACATCCAAGGATAAGTTAACTTAAGTTAAGTAAGTTAAGTAGGGTAAGTTAAGTTACCACGACATATACCCTATTTACACCAAAGCTCGAACATGTCTTAAAACTGTTTTGTTAAACACGATGTAAATTTTTTTCCTCATATAGGCTGCTTAAACCAATGCCAAACTTCAAATGTACCACATTACTTGAAGTATATTATAAATTTAGTCTTTCAGTTGTCTGTTTCTGGTTTTAATGAGTTAAAGCCGATTTGACTAAACATGTTCTACTGGTGTGAATGGGGTCATAGATTCGGCGCTTTAACCGAGTGAATGTAAAAATAACTTAATTTCAAGTTTGATCCAAACAAACCACGCGTGAAAAGCTCAAATTCTCAAAGCACACTTACCTTAGCTGTTCAAATACTGGGTCTTTCTTCTCTAACGACTGTGTTGTTCTCGAATTGGCGAACGAATCTTTGACTAGACACTCTGTTCACGCGGAACTGTGAGAAATATTTGTTCTGTTCAGATGGAATTGCTAACAGAATGAAGTTTTCGATATTTGTCATTGGCTATACCTTCTCCTCATGCGCAGAGCGCTGCCTAACCAAGTGCAAAATTGCATCTAGAGTGTGGATAACCGATATTTAGCTTGGAGAGATAAGGAGACAGCACTACTGCTTCTCCCAAGACAAGATCATTGTCAAGTTGAAGAGGATAAAGTTCGGTTATTGGCAAATGATAAATGCTGAAAGACGAAGCGGAGGGGGAGACTGGTAACATTACAATGTAATGGAACTATGGTCTGGATGCCCGGCTGTTGAAGCTTTGGATAATGGCATTGAGACCGCAGAAGAGATACCCGGTGGTAAAAATCCTGTGGATAGTGACTCGGGGCTAATATCTTTGGCAGCAAATGAAGCTGCATGGGAAGATGACACTGGTGAAATCACTACCTCGGATGAAAGCGCCAACGATGCAGTTTAGCAGCTGTTGATGCAAGAAAAATTTCATTTCTAAATTGAAAGAGTAAAAATATTCCAAGCTTACAAAAACCACAACAGAGAAAAAAATGTTAGCCCCGAGACACGAAGAACTTCAATTAAAAAAGAGGATGATCGATCAGCTTGAATAGTCAGAGGAAGATTACATGGAACAAAATTACGCAAAGTTTTTCTGTTACACATTTAACAAATGGTGAACACCACAGCGTACACTATTGAGTTATGGATGCACGCGGGAGGTTGCTAAGCACGAAAGAAGCCTAAGAGACTCTAGCTTCTTGAGTGCTTAGCAAACCTCCCAAGTGCATCCATAACTCAATAGTGTACGCTGTGGTGTTTACCATTTGTTTTATAACATAACATTGATACATTGTAGCTAAAGAGTTCCCTTTTATTTAACAAATCTTACGCGACCAGAAAAAAACAAGCGCGCGCGGAAAAATAGTCTTTGCATTTGCTCACGTCAGCAGCGTACACCCATGGGCAAATGGGGGACGCTAAATTGACCAATCAGAGCGCGCGCTTTACTTTGGTTATGTTATAATACAGAATGGATTCAATATTCTGGTGATGACGATGCAGCAGAGTCCTCAGCATAATCAGCATAAGCAGTGCAACCTGAATCCCCAATATCAGCAGCAGCAAAGCAACACGCCAGCTGGTTTTTGGCATTTACAGGATCCTTAACTTCTCATTTTAATTAGAGTAAAACAGTATCATTTACATTGTGTCTACCGTAACTATTGAATTGTAAACTACTTTCGCTTACTCAATGAACAAAGTTGAGGTGGCGGTTTATTATATACACCACCAGTGTGCCTACTCACAAGGCAGAGAGACATTAAATTTGGCAAGCTTGCCAGTGATTTCGTGGCAGAATTGGGGACATCATACATGAGCTACAGAGAACTTGTCTGAAAGGTTTTAAGGTAGCACGTTCAGACAAATTTAAGGCAAAATAGAGGAGAAGTATGGCGGATTTTCTCTGGAACAGGTCGGAATAAATTTCAAAAGTGTTTGGAACCGTCGACTCATTGCTCAAAGGCAAGGGGATACATTATTCTCTTGAACTGGATTTGGGAACCTGACAAAAGTGTTATCTATAAGTTATGAAAGCAAGCTTTTGACCACGGTAAGTCCAGTTTTCACTGTTTTCTATGTGATTTTATACGCGCCGAATTACAATGTAAGTCCACAAAGTAACGCGATTCGCATGCGCGACGGCCATGATGTATCAAATTGTTCGCCTTGTGCACTATTTACCGGGAAACATCGGCTCAAAATTAGGTCAAGATCAGAGTTGTATTGTTACACTCACTCACTCACTTATCTCGAAGACATATGTGGCCTTGCCTCCCATGGGAGACAGGAGCCACAAAAGCATAAATAGGGAAGGGGCAATTCCGAGATGTACTGTGGGTAGTTTTCAGGTCACGGTTCCTCAACCAGGATCTCAGGGAAATCTGAGAAAACGTTACTTTAAGGACGAGGCAAAGCAGGTTTGATCAATTATTTAATTCATTTGATTCATTGAAAAATTCATTGATTATCTATTATAGAGTGGTGCGTGAATCAGACCAAGACCTCTACACAACTGCTTTAATGGGATATCACGGACTTAATCGTATACAATGATATATAACGATAATCACGTGACTGCGGTTATATGTGCTATCTAATGAATACAAATAATCTATTAATTCACGTATTCATCCAAATGCAAGGGCAATCGCTGCCACCTAGACTACGAGCGGTCTATTCTTTTCGGCGAAGTGCGTCACGTAAGTCCAAAACCACAGCCACAAAAATTGACGCCGATTTACCGTTTAACAGCATCGTGGTCCAGTCGTTTATTCATTAAAACAGGAAAAAGACTGCATAAATGCCATCTCTGGAGACAAATTTCACTCACATACGGTAAAAGTCGTCCCATGCTGGTTCCTTAACCGGCCTGTCCTATCTAATAATCTTCTTTGGAGTTTTGTTCGTGAGACTCATCCTTACTTGTGCGCCTCAAAATTTTAAATGGTTTAACTATGCATCAGAGATCAACAGTGCGTTGCGATGACATGACGACTAACTGATAATTAGGATAAGGAATATTACTAGTTACGCCGAATTGGGATTAAAATTTCACGCCTGAAAATCACTCAGCCGTGTTTTTAGTCTTTAATTATCGTATCACTAACAGAGCTCCCGCAGCGCATTGACGTCAATTTTGTTTTCGCTTGGTTTTTGGGACTCGCGCGATGGACTTCGCCGAAAAGAAGGGTCCGCTCGTATTTTTCTACAACCAGATACCCAGACTACTTGTCGAGATCGTCGCGTGCACTTTTGTCCTTTCTTTTCCAGCAAGATTTCTAGAAACAGCTGAATCGTAAAACATTGGAAAAACCAATTGGCCATGGTCAAGGTTGAGTTTGAGTAGCCAATAAGAGCGCGCCTTCAAAAATATCCACTAGTATATACTGGCACAAAATATTGTTTGTGTCTTCCAAGTTTAATCGTCACTCGTTAGCGCAAACATGTCCACATATTAGACTTTGGATTTGAATTTGGTGTAGCATTTTTTGCTCCCTAAGTCACCTTAGAGACCCAATAAAGTAACCTACAAGCATTAGGAAGAAAGCAATGATCGGCCAGGTATTAATTTTGGCGAAAACATCTGAAAAAGATAGTCTAACAGACGGATTTAGAACTCGAATTTTTGCCTGATCCCGCTGGCCCGATCCGTTAGGGATTATCGTCAGTGGGTTGATTTCCTGAAGCTGGAGGGCAACTTTTTTACAAGGCTTTATATTAAGAGAAATTGAACTTATTTCGTTTAGGCTCTCGGTGAACTGTTTTTTTCTACGCAATAGTTCCACTCTATATGCCTCGTCTCCTCTGTGTCCTCTGCTATTCTCGAGAATGGATTCAACGTTCTCCACTTTACACAGAAGCAAAAGGAGAGCGTTATTTTGGTTTCTCAGGCTACTGCGTAGATATGCGGACTTTTCTCTCACATCCATCTTCAATCTTGCCCTTGTACTCTCCAATTGAGCAGTTTTGGCATTGATGAAGCTGTCAATTTGTTCGTTAACATCTAAACAGTTTTGTTGTAATGCTTTTTCGATACCCTCCCTGGAAGTAATTTCTCCTTTAAGAGCAGAAATTTGCGGTTTTGCTTTTTGTACAAGTGTATTTATTACATACATAGCTGAAGAAAATTCCTCGCCGATACCTTTATGCGAGTGGAAACGATGATTTATCACTGTACAGGCGTTGCATATCACTTCCCCACATTCGCAGTAACGATCTACTGGTTCTCTCGGGTGTTTCTCACAATTTCTGTGCGGTTCGCGTTGGGTATGATTGCGGCTTACTTCCATGAGCTGCTCGATCAGGAAATTGGAAGGAAGCTTTGAGACACCATCTTGTTGGAGCTAGAAGAAAAAAATTACTTTCAATTTAACGTATGCGTGAAATGCAATGAAATCCATTACCCCAAAGTGACAATCGCATATTACGAACGTCGTAATGATAGCTAATTTCTTCGAATGCTCAACTTTTTCTCGACAGGCCGTTAATAAGATCAAAGGGGCAAAGTTATTCTCATACGCAACTATGCTGGCTGTCTTCTTTTTGTAGTGTCCAGGCCTCCAAGTCCATGCCCAAGGCCCCAGGAGACGTAGTATTTATTATGCGCTGTAAGTGAGAACGTGGGGTGAGATATTTTTGATAACGAACAAAGTAGGCGAACGATAAGCGAACTGTATAAGCGAACTCCAGAACATTACATTGGCGACGAAGATCATCTCATTGGCGTTCGATCGAATTGTTTCGATTAAGAAATCTCTGCGAATGGCCGCATATGATACAAACCTCAACTTCGGACCTTTTGACCCGGACCTAGATCCGACATCGGTCGGCACTCGATTCAGGAAATTTCTCGAAAGATTCAAAGTATACGCTGTAGCGATGAATATAAAGGAAAAAGCGAGAAAACGAGCACTATTCTTACTCTGTGCTGGTCCTAAAGTACAGGACATCTTCGACACACTAGAGGATACGGGAGAAGACTTCGAAACCGCAGGAGAGAAACTTCTAGAGTATTTTGAGCCTAAAAGACATCATCTTTTTAGCATATACCAATTTCGGCAGTTAGCCCAAGAGGAAGAGGACTCGTACGAATGATTACACCACGCGTTTAAAGCAAGCAGCGGCTCCGTGCGAATTTACAGAGGGTTAGCGTGAAGTTGAAATACAAATGCAGCTAATTGAAAAGGGAAAATCGAAGATAGTTAGACGCCGCTTGCACAGTAAGCCGCACTCGCCTTCAGGAGGCGTTAGATTACGCTAGAGCACAGGAATTGTCGGATAAACAAGCGAAGAGAATCGAAATGGGGCAACAAAGTCGAGGGAATAATACTGAGGAAGAAATAATATGGATATATCAACAAAGTTGAAATGGTAAATTAGCCACCGCAATGATTACAAAAGCTGACGTTTCGAGCGTTAGCCCTTCGTCGGAGCGAATAGAGGAATTGTGGGTTATGTGTGCTTTTAAAGGCAGAAAATGGAGCTACGTTATTGGTGGGAACGAGAAAAACATGAATAAATTAGTGGAATGAAAAGCGTTCGTTGATCCCTGTGGGATTTAGACTGCCGGTTTGA